TGTATATGTACAATGTGTGCATGAATATACATTGTGTTGGCTGTTGTTAGTAGTTTCCAAGCCGTGCCAACTCATGGGAACCCCCTAGGTGCAGAGTGAAAGAGTTCCACAGGGCTTTCAAGACTGACTTTGGGGAAGCAAATCACCAGGTCTATCTTTCTGGGTGTTTCTGGGAGGAGTCAAACCACCAACCTTTGCATTAGTGAATGGAGGGTGTAACCATTTGCACCACCCAGGGGATCATATATACACAATTGTAAAATATTTTCAATTCTCTTGTGTGTGTGTGTGTGTGTGTGTGTGTGTGTTTTAATTGAGTATGCGTATTCTTGGGCAAATTATTACATCTTTCTGATATTGAAGTCCTCAATTGCAAAACAAAAATAATAATAATACTTACCTTACAGGGTTGTTGTGAGGACTGGTTCAATGTTATTATGGCCATAACTATATAAACCAACTCAACCCATATAAATCATTATACCCTCAAAGTACACACATGTAGTAAGACATCTGATGTTCAATTAACTATGAAATTCTCTTTATCTTGTGTCTATCAAGGCAACTGGCTGCTCAGTCATTCAAAAACACTCAACGATGTTGACTCCAGCCAGAATTAAGAGAATATACATAAATGGAGATAACTTACACGAGATAATTAATTTAATCAGTATTTATTTTAACTTGAAATGTGTATCAGACTGATTTTTAAGTAGTTGTTCCCTGTAGTTTGGTTATATACAATGAATTAAAATCAATGATAAAATTTTTAATTTAATTGCATGGTCAATCTCAACATTCCTTTTATCCATGTTTATGGAGCAGAAACAGAGATTCTCAATATGTGAATAATCTTGAACCCAGTGATAAGGGAAGGTATTATATTTGGGAATTATTTTATTAAAATTTGTTTCTGAATATCATGCTTCTATAATTTAAAACTTTCACTAAATGTGTTTAGGTGGCAGGCTGTAAATCCTGTTTTCTGTTACAGATACAGTACTAATGGCTAATGTGATCACTGTGTTCGAAGTGTTTTGTAGCGAGAAAGACAAGTGATCTTTGCCTGGATCTATTTTTAGTCCTGGTTTGCTTTCCTACACCCTTAGAGTGAACACTGAAAAATTAAATAGGTGAAAGACCCCATAAGAGTCAGGCTGGGATCAAAAGTGTCATTGTGTCGTATTAAAAAACAAATGCATGTGCAAGAAGAAAGCGTTCAGATTGTCTCTATCTCACTGCTAGCCCTTGTTAATTAACACAAGACTAACCAGAATTTGCAGAGCAGTTGGAGATATTGCTGGATGGATCAATTGAGTGTTCAGACTACAACATCCTAGAGCTTTAAAATGCAACCAGTAATGGTTTTCCTTACAGCAGAGAAAGAACTGCACTTTATCTGGTTTCATGGTTACTGTGTATGGGCAGAGAAAGGTCAAGAGTTTCCTGAATGAAATATATCCGTATCCACATATTACTTACTCTCACCTAAGTAAGAAGAAAAATACCTATCCTTGACTCCTCAGTTGAGAGGTATAACAGTTAGTTAATAGTAAGACCATCACTAGCTACCTGGTATTCATAATTATAATGAATTCATTAAAATGATGGCTACAATTAGAAAACTGTCACAGAGACAGGTGAACAGTTTGTTCCAAATTACTCTCCTCTGCTGATAAAATAATGTCTGAGATTATTTTATCTCAGATTAAAAGAGCTCAGATCTGAACATTGGGCATTTCAAAATCTCTTAGGTAAATGCTTATTACACCATGGTTGGTGCTTAATTCATCTAAATCTATTAAAGGAACACAATCTTACCGGAAAAGGAAAAATGTTGTCAGCTCTGTTCAAGCTGTCTTCCATCCAGGATTTGGGAGCAAAGGCAGAGCTGGGCCGCGCATACTTCTGGAGCTGAATATGATTGCTTGCAAAATTCTTCTTCAAAGGTGAGATGGAGTTCAGGGGCGTTATTCCTCCGTTCAGACCTCTGCGGTGGTCTCGGCCTTGGGAGCCTCCCCAGCCACCATATCCACCACCCCCTGGGCTCCAGGAAGAAGACGGAGTCGGAGAGGGGCTCTGATAGCTGCTCCATGGAGAGGGGGGTTTGTTCAGATTATTCGCCAAATGAGGCAGCTGGTTAAAAGCAGCATTTCTGTGTGTGAACGGCGGGGGATGGGGACTGGCAGGCGACCTCCTTTGCTGCTGATGCTGGCTGTGATGATGCTGGAAATGAGGGTGATGAGGGTGGTGCTGCGACAGGGGCCCGATCTGAGGGGAGAAGCTGCCTCCAAAGCCAGGGCTGACGTGATGGGGGAAATTTTGAAACAACAGAGCACCGTTATTCGCTGAAGCAGCAGGGACCCCTCCCTGATGAAAGAAACTTGCATCTTCATTGATTATTGTAGAGGAAGAAGGTGCTATCGCTGCAGACCAGTTACTGAACCCAGTAAGAGACGAAGCACTAGATGTCAAGGGTTGGGTTGAAGTCCCGAGCCCTGTGGCTTCTTGATAATCAAACCCTGTCAACACTGGCGATTCCATTCGTATTTTCTCCTTCCCGTTGCCATTTTCCGAAGAATTGTCCCCAGCATTTTCTTCCGATTTTGCCTTTTCTGTTTCAGGCAGTATTCCAGCTTCCTGGCCTGCACTAGGGGAGAGCTGCTGCTTCTCTAGAGGGTCCTGCTGTTCCTGTTGCTGACTTTTGGCTTTTTCGGACCCCAAGATCTCATCTTGAATGTTATGGGTAGCCGGAGCAGGAAAGAGCCAAGCTGACCCAGCACTGCTGCCATTGGCAGCTGTGTTATTATTTATAAAAGCAGCAGGGCTGGGGGTGGCATTTTGGTGATGGTGTGGAGGCTGCAGATGTGGATGGAATCTGACTGGAAACGCAGATTTATTCCCAGTATTGCTTTGCACTAGCACTCCAAACCCGTAATCCCCCATTTATTATCTTTAGGATCAGAATCTTATGATAAAAAAAAGGACAACCTGATGTCTCACGCCTCTTTCTTCTTCGATGCAAAAATTTTAAGTTGCTCTTTTTGCTTGAAACGTCTTATAGCTAGCTCAAAGATCGAAGCTTATCCCCACCCTAAATAATTCTGATTTGGAATTTCTGGTCTCTGAAAAACCAACAACGACAAAAGAAAAACTGAAGGGGAGGGAAAAAACCCAACCTTTTAAAACCTTGACATGAATCCAATAGGGCTTATTTCTAGGAAGGAAGAAAAAATGAAGAGGGTAGAAATCAAGTCTTTGGTTAGTAAAATAGGCGCTTTCTTTTTCCAAAGGAAAATACACATGAATGACAAAAACACAGCTTCTCAATCATCTATGGATGTAGAAGAATAAGCCTTGCGCGGAGTAAAAATATATTTATATATATAATTTAACAATCACATATGGTCTTCCTCAGCAGTTTAGATTCACATAAAAATTAGAACAGGGCTCAGGGGGAGGAATACGTTCTTTTCTTGGCAGCTTGGTTTTAAAAAATCAGGAATAATTTAAGAACATTATATATTATATATTATCTATATAGATTATATTAGGCGATCTGGGGTGGGAGGTGAATCTCGGGTTGCGGGGGAGGGAATCAGCGTTGACTAATGGAGGGCTGATTGCAGGGAGGTTTCTGCTGTTCCTGGTCCTGTTTTTGCTCCTTCGCGGGGTGCAAGGGGGGGTCTCTGAGGCTGTTCCCGAGGCTCCGGGTGCAGATCCTGCTGCGCTCGCTGTTCCTGGGCTCCCCCCGGCCTCCTCTCCCCCATGAAATGGGCTGGAAATACCCGTTTCTCCCTCGTGGGGGGGTCGCGATCACGGAGGGTTTAGCGAGACCCGGCGAGGGCGAGCTGGCGGCCCGGGGGCGCGGGGACCAAAGGGGCGACCTGGTCGATCCTGCGGTCTCTGCCTCTTCCCCTCGCTGCGGCTTCGGGGTGTGTGTCCCTCATGGGACCCAGGGGCGGTTTGTTCAGTTCCCTCAGTTCGATTCTCCGCAGAGGCGAAAAAGAGGAAAGAACAGGGGGAGGGAAACCCCACTGCGGTGGTCCGCTAAAGGAGAAGGGCCTCCCCTCTTCGCTGGCTCTCTCTCTTTCCCCCCCAATTTCTTAACAAAACTATAATTTGGAAGGCTTTTGTTTCTCCTCACGGTTGTTGGGCCGCCGCCGGCGCCGTCTCTTTTTCCCCGGCCCCGCGGTCCTCGCTGCGGACTCCGCCTGGCTCTTGTTTTCCTTTCCTTCCTCCTCCTCTTCTTCCTCTGCTGCCGCCGCTGCTGCCGCTACCGCCGCCGCCGCCGCCGCCGCCACCGCCTCCCGGTGCCCGGGTCCCGCAGCCGCGGCTGAGTCCTTCTCCTCAGGACCGAGCCGAGTGAAATGACAACCAGCTGGAAAGACCTAGAGACACTTCCGGTTCGAGGAGGGCGGGGTGGAGTACGGGCGGCGCCCCACCCACCGGCCGGACGACCAATGAGCAGTTAGGATCTGTGTTAGGTCACACCCCTGAGCCATAGGTTTCCGCCCAGGAAGGTCGAAAAGTTACCTTGGGAGACGCCCCTTCCGTCTACGCCTCGCCCAGTGAGTCCCGGCGCCTGGAACCCGCCCCTCCACCCCCACTCCAAGTGAGCGCAGCGGGTCGCCATCTTTGATATGGGCAAAGGACTCCTTCGATGTTTGTCTTCCCCAATAAGGCTTTGCGGGAATTGCATGTGAAGACGTGCGGAGTATAATGGAACCTTTCTTCGTGGAGGGGAAGCGTCAAGGAGATGGGATCGAAGCGGCGACCTTAGAAACCCTAGGTTAACCGGAAGGCTGCCCACAGTAAATGTGGCTCCCCCGGCCTCACGCGCTCTGGCCCGAGCCCCGCCCCGGAGGGATCTGGAAGGGGAGGCGGGTCTTCCTAGTAGCTGTGCTGTGCCTGGAACTGCGTAGACTTTAGTTGAACCTTTGCATCCCCACCCCTCTAACACTAGTTCCTTCAGCCAGGGGTAGGTTTCAGTCTTGTGCTGTCTCTCAGGGACAACCCTGTTGTAGGCGCCCGTGACTGAGCCCCCATCTCCATCCTGTACTCCTACAAGCCTGCCCTACATGCAATACCAAGGGGACATTTCCAAAACAAGAATGGTATGGGCCTCTCCTCTTCTATGACTATTCCGTCTAGATAAAGGACAAACTTCTTGCTCGGGTTTACGAAGTCTTTCTACTCTGATCTGTATACCGTAATACCTCATCTCCCTCCCAACCCCCCGCACTAAGCTGCCGTTCCACACATCCTCAGTGCCTTTTTGACCTGCCGTTCTGAGTTGACATGCCCTGGATGGCAATGGATTTGGTTTGATTTGGTTCTCCTCTTAGACTCTTTGTACACTCCTCTTTGGCTTCTGGAATCCGTTCAAAAACCACCAACTCTGCATTCCAAATTCTCTCAGGCACTTCCACGGCTTGCCATGCAGGCGAATCCTGTGCTTGCTTCTTTGCCTCATTATCTTGTCCTGGTTGCTTACATCTCTCAGGCCAGGGTTGGGACTTTTTAAAGGAAAGGACGTTTAAACAGGAGGCCCCGGTGAAAAATGCTGAAAAAATTAATGGACAAACAATGTTTTCTCTGATTGATAACTCCCCTTCCCAGGTCTGAATTAATACTGTTTGTGACCTTCATCCCCATAGCGTTTGGTTTGGAACTTCCATCTCTGAAACGTTTGCTCCCTAGGAGCTCCATGCCTTGTCTTTACTCACCTCACAGTCCCACCACTCCAAGTATGCTCGAGAGCTAGGGTCTTGCCTTACTCTTAGCCTAAGTTCTAAAGATGTTGAGTACGTGAATGCTTTTCTTTAGCAGAAACTACAAACAGGAAGAACTTAGGGTAGGGTCAGTAGTGACAATAGCAAAACGAGGGGGGGAAAAGAAGAATGGTGATTTCCATTTCCTTTTAAAAGCTTGTTCCTCAATGGTCCCAGCCCAGAGAATTTCTCCTGCCAGGCAACCTTAACCAGACAGTAATTGTATTCTCTATCATTGTATCATGAACTTGAGGTTTGTTTCTGTACCTCTCCTGCAAGTCCCTTGGCAGCAGGAATTGGATCTAACACTGTAGTTCATCACCTTGGAGACTAAACTGGTACTGTCATGTGTCTTTCCTTGAAATACCTTCCTTGCTTGCCCTCTCGCTTCTGGCTGACCTAAATGGGCCTCATCCATGTTCCCTTAGCATCTTGTAAGTTCTTCTCTTTTAAATCCTGCTAGTTGTCAGCGACTGGGAGCCCTGGTGGTGTAATGTTTGGGTCAGCAGTTCAATACCATCAGACCCTCTCGGGGATAAAGAGGAGGTTTTCTATTTCCCAAACTCGTTACCGTCTCAGAAACTCACAGCAACAGTTCTACCCTGTCCTATAGGGTCACTAGACGTCGGACTCAACTCCATGACAGTGAGTTTGGTTTAGGGTTTTTTTTGAAGTTGTCAAGTGGGTTCATTTCTTCAGGGCAGAGGTTACATCTGACTTATTTTTGTGTTTTTAGTGGCCAGCAGAGGGTCAGATACAGAGCAGATTCCGAACATGTTTATTGAATGAACGAATGAAGGTCCCGTGTGCAATGTTTGAGGGTGCCTTGAAGCTGCAAGTCCAGTTTCAGACATGGCAACCGGAACGTGGAGGAGAGAGAACGATAGGCTTTGGAGCCAGAAGACCTAAAATTGAACGCAACGTTGTGCCGCTTTGGACATCACCTCTGCAAGCCTCTGTTTCTTCATCTATACAAGGTAGACACTATTTCCTCCTCATTAGTGACATGTAACGTGCTGGGTTCTTAGGAGGTGTTCCAAAATGTCAGTTCTTATAAACATCTTTAGAACAGTAACACTATTTCAAACATGTCTGTAGCCACAAAGAAGCTGGACGCATGAGGAAATTCAGGAACCTGTCTTGGTTTGTAGAGGTAAGAGGCACACCCAGAGCCACAATCAGGGTGCTGCCAGGTCAGCCTGATCTTTCAAGGCAATCTAAGGGTGAATAGCCAGTTTGGGCTGGACCAATGCCAGGATGCTCCTTGTAGACATAGTCAGGTTTCTGCTTTGGGACTAGGAACGTAAGTGAAGGAACTAAAACCAGTTGCCATGGAATTGATTCTGATCATGAACTGTGCTCCAAGGGTTTTTCAATGACTGGAGTTTCTAAAAGTTGCCTGCCAGGCTTTTCTTCTGAGGCACTTCTGGGTGAACTCAAGCCTCCAAGCTTTGGGTTAGCAGCCTTAAGCGTTAAAGTGTGCACTGCCCAGAGACTTTACAGGAGGCAAGGAACAAAATGGACAGGGAGGAGCGGTTTCTGGGAAGGGATTCTCTTAGGTCAGTTGCCTACTTGGAATCCCAGGATACCCAGCCCAGGGCTGCCCTCTTTGAAAACATTCTGGCCTTGGAACGGTCCCGTGGTAACCATGACAACTAGTCAGCAGCTCCATTTAGGAGCTCCAAATGGAACTCCAGTTGCAGATGCGTGCTGGCCTGCGCACTGCTGGCAGCTGAGAGTCCCTCCCATGAAGCATGCTCACCAGGAAGATTTCTGCTCACAGAGAAAACAAGCTCTGGCCCAGCATTACAGGACTCTCGGATGATTAAAAAGCTCTTCCCAGGTCAGCCAGGGCTGACACACCTTCAAAGCAGTCATAGGTTGGTGAGTGTCTATGCCCTGTTGGCTACTACCCAGTCCCCTCTGGGATTTGAGGTCAACCACACCCAAATCCGGAGCTCCCAAGGAAGCAGGGAGGTAATATCTCCACCACCAGCCTCTTTTAAGGCTTGGGTGACACATGGGGCCAAACTCTGTCACAGTGCAATGCTCATGACCTCTGTCCCTACCCTGGGAGCACATAGCGTCTGCCTTCTCCCAGCAGCCACACCCAAGCTCCCCAGGGACCTGCCTGGGTGATCACATTCACCATCAGGGCTACCTCCCACCTACCCCCCCCAAAGCTGCAGGGGTTGGGTACTACATGACCCCATTAGGCCTTATAGATAGATTACAACATAAACGCTGACCCCCGAAGTTATGCAAGGCGGCCACCTTGCTTCAGTTTATTCTCCTAAGTAGGAGTAGGAGTACATTGTGCAAGTCAGACACCTATACCACATAGCCACAAGATACCACCCTGAAGCCCCTGAGCACATGATCATTGCCAGCAGGAATACTGACAGTGGCCAGTCCTGCCCGAGTTGGTGGCACAGTAGCTTTCTCTTATGACTTGAAGGGCATTGTGTCCTTGGTGTTGTTACTGGGTTGGAACCATAGAGAGAAGACAAGTCCAGGCAGGTATGTTCTTCAGCAACCCCCAAGAGATTAATACCCGCCAGTTACTTTGCCTGGCAGCGTTCACACACATTCTAATGTAGTGAGAGAGTATATAGTTTAATGAAAATTTTAATCATCTTCAAAGGTAGTCCCTGTGAAGAGAGAGAAAGAATTACTTTTGGAAGAGGGACTCATTTCCAAGACTATGTGTGCACACTCACAATTATGAGACAACCTGGAGGAACAACAACAACAACAAAATTCCCAAATTAGGTTTGCTAAAACCTCTGATCTTTACCTGTTTCAATATTGGAAAGTGTGCGTGTTTGTTTAGAAAACACTATTGTGTTTGTTTTTCTACCTTTCGTTTATTGTTTGCAACCTGTGCAAGCCCTCGGAGTTTTAAACCCTGTTGTCTTTCTGCCTTCACCTTTGCTGCACTATCCTTCACCTGCAGTCCACAGTTCAGAAGCCCTTTGGGTGAGGAGCAATGAAGCCAGTTCCCCCCAAAACATTGGAAAGTGATGAAATGGTTTGGAAAGTTCCGGGACACAGACGAGCTGCTTTTGAAGTTGTCCTTCCCCTGGCCATGCTATAGATGAACTGGTTGACCTTCCAAACTGTGACTGGCATCACATGAGATGACTTGGATTCTTTTGTGGCTCTAGCCACCTGTGAGGAGGGGCTGCTGACCTAGATTACCCTGGGCTGTTTTGATTGGACACACTACACTTCCTGTATCAAAACCAACCATGGCCAAGCTGCAGAACAGCTGTCATCTCACGCCCCGTGGCTGAACTGGGGGGTTCTCACCACCATGCTGGAAAGAAAAGAGCTTTGTGGAGCTGGTGGGGAAGCTACAAGAACCAGAGGTCAGACAGCTGGAAGTCAGGGACCACCAGAGCTGTCCATTCACAGGCCCAAATCCAACAGTAGCTATCCGGAGATGATCCCACCTCAGGGCGAGCCCCCGTTGTAGAGCTGTGCATCCGGGGACTTTCAAGGTTATGCTTTCTCAAAGCAGATTGCCCGGCCTTTCTTTTGGGACACTTCCAGGCAGGTTGGAGCCACCATCCCTTATGATCAGTAGTCCAGTGCCGTGTGGGGATTATGATTCGTAGTCACGGGCTGTTTAAGCCACCCATGAGCTCCTAAACTCCTAACTTGTCTGACAATCTCCTTGCAACTGGATTTTGGACTGCCGAGAGAGCTTCCGTTCTGAATCACTAAACAAAAGAGTCCAAAGAAACAGCTTTATTTATTACCAAGAAAGCCCACTGAATGTGGTTCTTTCCTTTAACATCCGAGTTTCTTGGTGTGTGTATATGTTCATTATGAGGGCGTGTATACACATACATACATATGACTATGGCTGTGAATATGAATATATAGTTGTTAGGTGCTATGGTTGTTACATAATGTCATGTCAACTTGATAAATAAATGTAGGGGTGGAGTCTAGCCTGTCAATCAAACCACAGCCTGATGATGCCTCCTTGTGGGCATGGCCTTCTCATGAGGATTCTGGGAACTTCCTCTTTTTCTCCCTAGAAGTGGGTCACACACTCTCTCTCTGCCTTCCTCTTCCTGTTGACAAGGCACATGGAGACTTTCTGAGACCTGAGCGAGCCATTTGGTGGAGACCCGCGCCAGCCCTATGATGCTTCTACTGCCACTGGATCCACAAGACTTTTCATCCAGTGACCAGTGATCTTCCTGCATTCTGCATCACTGCATGTGGCTGCGTGAGTCTGAAGAGAGATTTGTGAACTAGTATCAGACTTATGGACTTGATTTGAATGAGGCTGAGATGCTTTATTGATATACAATCATTCTTTGATATAAAGCTTATATATATATATATATTTCTATATGTATACCTGGGTTTGTTTCTCTAGTCAACCTGGCCTACCACAGGTACCACTGAGTAGATCCCAATTCATAGTGACCCTATGTACAACAGAATGAAACACTTCCAGGTCTTGTGCCATGGTCAAAATAGTTCTTATGTTTAAGCCCATTGTTACAGTCACTGTGTCAATTCATATGGTCGTGTCTTCCTCGTTTTTGTTGCCCTCTACCAAGAGAGATACCCTCCAGGGACTGATCTCATATCCAAAGTTCATGAGATGAAGTCCTTGCTTTTAAGGACTATCCTTGCTTCTAAGGAGCGTTCTGGCTGTATTTCTACCAAGACAGATTTGTTTGTTCTTTTGGCAGTATTTTAATATTCTTTGCCAGCACTATAATTAAAATGCATCAATTCTTCTTTGGTCTTCTTCATTCTATATCCAACTTGTGCATGAATATTAGGTGATTGAAAGTGTCATATGTATATGAGCTTCAACGAGTTTATGGAAAGTTTTCATGATCTTTTCATACCATTCTTTCGTGTGTATGTGTAATTCCCTCACACACACACACCCCAATGATCATTTCTAAAAGTTGACTCTCTAAGCATCTGTGTTAGTCTGGATAGACTAGAGAAACAAATTTATAGAGACACATATGTATATAAGAAAGAGCTTTATGTAAAAGAGTAATTGTATATTAGGGAAACATCCTAGCCCAGTTCAGATCAAGTCCGTAAGTCTGATATTAGCCCATATGTCTGATATCAGTCTGTAAATTCCTCTTCAGACTCATGCAACATATGCAATAACACTGTGTGCAGGAAGATCACAGGCCAGTTGGTGGGAAGTCTTGTGGATCCAGTGTTGGTGCAAGCATCTTAGTGCTGGTGTGGGTCTCCATGTAGCTCCTCCAGCTCCAAGGCTTTGGCTGCAATCGCATAGCTTCATGTGGCTTGTCAACAGCAATGTCTTGCAGAGGAAAAGTGTCTTTGGCCTCTGGCAAGTTATTTCTCTCCATTGCGCCTCCAAATGAGGTCATCAAGCTGCAACCTGATCGACAGGCTAAACTCCACCCCTTCACTCTTAATAGTCTCAAGTTGACACCAGATTATGTAACTATCACAACATCCCACCTCAAGTTTTAGTCTCTTGTCAGTCCCCAGGGAAACCCACTACAATGCAGATTTCTGGCCCCTCATATTCATATTCCATTTTCTTATAAAATTTTAAAGTACAAGATATTTCCCCATAATAATGTAAGAGGGCAGAAAAAATATTTTGGCAGAGAGAAAAAGATTTATTTCTCACATAAAAGAAGTTTGGGAGAGCCAATCTAAGATTGGCAATGAGAAGTTCAAGAACTCATCAGAAACCCAAGTTCCTAGCCTTTTTCTAAATGTGACTTCTGCCTTATGTATACCTTCCAGACCAAAGGAAGAAGAATAAGATGAAGAAGGACATCTTCTTTGAAAAAATATTTCAGAGGAATATACATCTGTTCTGTTTTCCATCATGTGGCCATACCTCATGGCAAATTAGGTTGGGGAGTGTGATCTTTCCTTCCAGGGACTTGGTTAATAATCAGCATTCCATTCATGATGAAGAAGGGCAAGGTGGATCTAGGGA